AATAGGGATAGGAACATGATATTATAGCGTGTTGTGTAATAACAGCAAAATAGATGATAGAATGATGTAATAATTGGTAATAGCATATAATGAGATAGATGCATCCACAAAGCATATAAATAGAATAATTGGAGGTAGTTTGGAGGGGAAGTCAGAGTTTGAATTAAAGTTTAGCTAGAAGCTTTGAGTGGAGTGTATTAGAATGCTCTTTATGTTTTTTCACTTTATTCAATAAATGCCACAACTTTGCACAATTATATTATATATTCCTTGAAGTATATACTAAGTCTACATCACTACAGTAAAGTAATCTTTAAGAAAGAGAGACGCGATATTACTGTTATGCACTGTAAGAGAGTGACACTTGTAATATTGAGACATGCCTAAGGAAAGATGGTTAAAAAGGAATTAGCCAGTGTGCAAAAGTCAGTCAAATTGTAATCCACCTTGGAGTTAAGGTCTTATCTTATTTAGTGCCAAAATCCAAGTGTTCAGACTATCGTCACGCAAATAGTGAACCATTTTAGCGACAGACTCACCGGTGACGATAATACCACTCAAATCATTTTAGATGAAGTTTACCCATATCCTTTTTCAAAAAGAAAATTTCAACATCAACTTTATGATTATAACTTTTATCAAATTTAGAAAACAAGATTAAGTGATGAAGAATTGGAAGAGCAAATCCAATAGTCTAATGATTACTGATGGCTATCAAAACTTGAACAATTCTTCAAATGATATAGAGAAGAATTGAATAACTATTCTGAAAATTACTTTTGCAATTCAATCTGGTGGACAGATATCAATTCTGTTACTTACTATTAAAACCTTCTTGAAGGCACCCTCAAAGAAATCTGACGTAAAACAGAATTCAAACCAGGTAGTCGATGTTTTGGCAGCCAAACTTCAACAATATGGAAATATAACAATATTATCAATTGAAAAATTATATTCTTAACAACAAACTGCCAACAAACATAGATAATAATCAACAAAAATATTTACAATCACAAAGCAAATTTTTTAAAGTCAAAAATAATCAATTTTACAAAAAAGACAAAAAAAGAAAAACCTGAAATTAACTACTCAAAGTCATTCAAAAACATGAAATGGAAGCAATATTTTATTTGATACATAATTATCCTACTGGTGCATACTTGGGAATTGACAAAACCTTTGAGAAAATCCATGATCAATACTATTGGTCTCAAATGTTCAAAAATATCAAAGATTACATCTGATTATGTAACCAATGCCAAAAATATAAAAGATACAGAACACTAGGACCCTTGCATCCCATTTCTGTTGAAGAATTATTTTTTAGAATTGGTATAAATATTGTAAGACTTTTACTAATCACCAAACAAGAAAACAAGTATATTATAGTTGCAACAGATTACTTCAATAAATGGCCTAAAGCATAAGCAATCTTTGAAGCTACTGAAAAACATGTAGTAGAATTCATCTATCAAGTTATTATTTGTAGACATGGATGTCTAAACCAAATCCTGTTTGATAGAGAAACTTATTTTCGAAATAAAATAGTAGATGGATTACTCAAACAATTTGAAATAAAATATTTATTATCCATGCCATATTATTTTCAAATCAATGGATTAGTTGAATGATTTAACAGAATTTTGTATGAGTTACTTGCAAAGTTAACTGAAGGCAAAAAAGATTGGAACCAATACATGTTGCCAATACTTTTTCTTATAAAATATCAAAACAATCTTTTATAAAAATGATACCATTTTATTTACTTTATAGACAAAAACCTCAAATTCCTACAACAAACATGAATAAAATATTGCAACCAACAATTCTTGAATGATTATATACTTTATTAGAAGAATTTTCATAACAAGATGAACAAGCAATAAGAAATATTCATAAGAAACAACAAAGACAAAAACAAAAATTTGATTATAAAGTAACAAAGTACAAGAAATTCAAAATCAGAGATAAAGTACTAATGTATAATGTTGCCAGAGATAAACACTTTATAGGAAAACTGAAACCAAAATAGAAAGTATCTTTTTATATCAATGATGTCTTGTCCAATAATGTCTCAAGCTCAGAACAATAGAAGGAAAGATTCTTGATACCCCTATCAATCTCTTTTTCTTGAAACCATATTTTGATCAATCTGTATAAAAACTTAGCATACATACTGTATATAGAAAAAAGTATCCTTTAGCTACTGAAGAGTTCAGTACCCAGATTATGCAATATGAATACAGATGCTTAAGCAATCCAGTTCTTCACTTGTATCAAACCCAGCACAAGTATCACTGAACCCTTGAATAAAAAAAAAGATCTGAAGAAATTAAAGAAACAAACAAAAAATATAGTGTAATAAAAGTGGCCCACAAAGTGCTCTCTGTCCATTACAGCTGGCCCACAAAGCATACTCAGCAACTACTGTATCACCCACAATAAATCCACAAATTTTAAAGAAAAAGATACAAAAAAAAATAAAATAAGAAGCAAATCTCTAGTTAAATGTGAAAGAAGAAAAAGACTTGTTAAAGGAAGCAGGTGCAGGATTTCTCAGCAGGTGAAAAAGACCTTCCAGATGAGATACTTTATTTCTCAAGTTCAAGTTCTCTAACTTCAACTCACTATTGAGGTTGTGAAGGGAGCGTGCATTCTGAAGTATTTTCAATTCTTATCTTAATCTTTCCACCTCTAGTTTCAAAGCCCTAAACCTTTCTTCTTGATGAACTTGATGCTTCAAAACTCTGACCTTTTCTTGAAACAACACAATTGTTTCCCAGGATGAATCCCTAAGACCAATGCAAATTAGGTAAGCATTTCTTAACAAACAATTTTCTCTTGACATTTTTAGAAGAATTTTGAATTGAAGATTATCTGCTAAATGATTTTCAAAAAGACCTTAAGTACAAATATGATGAAATCTCAAAAATACTTATGAAAATTTATAAAAAGGACAGCTGCCCAAACAACATGCTCCTTTTTTAAATTTGAACATTTTCAATATGCAAATAACAATCCCATAGCTGCTTATACTATTTTGGTCAAAGATCTTCTACAAATACTTCTGAAAATGTAGATGTTGCACCAGCCCCTTATGATCTTCTGCAGACTATTGAAATATAACTTTTGAATACCTATCAGAAGTTACAAAAAGTATTATAAAGAAGAAACAGAATTCTTATATTTTTATATGCTTATTATTTAAAAGAATTAATAAAAAATATCACCTATTGAAGACAACGTACATATTTGAAATTACATCTTCCAGAATACTATTTCAAGATTGCTATTTGCACATATACCATTTTTGAGAAATTAGGGATTAACCAGATCTATAGAACCTGATCTACCACCCTATGCCTAATTCATTACCTGTTACACTCTGATTATATCTCCTTAACACAAGATTAATTCATGGAACTTATAGCCTAGTAGGGGAGAATTGTTACACCTGATCTTTATCCAAGATTTTCAATAATCCTTGTCTGATTTTTACTAGCATTTATCTTTGAAATGTTACTTTTCAAGGATAATTCTTATATTACTATTCTTGTTATTGTTTAATACAATGCTTTTCATGCTATTATTGCTCTGGAAAATTTTCTATTTTGTTTAATTATCTTTATTCTTATATTATTGCCAAAGAATTTGTTTATATGCTAATACATACAGATAACTGTTCTGACAAATATAACACTTCTTTTATATCTTTTTTATTTTTTATAACTCATAATTATCGTATATAAGAATATTATAACTAAAACATGTATATAAAGACTTCAATTTTGCTTAGGAATCGACAGGCTTGAACTTATATTTTATTGAATAAATATCTTGACCTTTAAAAACAAATCACAATTGTCTCTTTTGCCTAACCTTATATACCTCAGAATTGTACTAATTTGTATACCTTTAGAAACTTTAGTATATCATATTGGTTTCATTTATTTAAAGTGTCTCCCTGCTACTAGTTCTTCGTCTTTATCTTTCACCTGAAATAAAAATGATATATGATAATACATCACTAAATCATGAAGTGTTGTGATATTTATTAGATATCCAGACAATTCCATTATTTTCCATTATAATTGTTTCAAATATTGTTAATATAAAATTATTTATTGAAATATTCAAAGAATTAAAGTATAATTTTAAAACATTCAAGGTTTTCAAATTTTCATCTATGATTTTTATTGTCTTTTGAAAGAATTTGAAGTACTTTATTAATAAATTGCTTAAATTTTTTGATTTAAATTCCTATAGTTTATTTGAAAATATAAATACTTTTGAAATAATTTTTTATTCTTTAGAGCTTTATATGATTTTATTAATAATTATTTTTTTTTAATTCCAAAAATATAATATTGTTATATATTTTAAAAGTTTGTTAATTAATTTATATATATATGTTTTGCATCAATTGTTTTTTGATATTTTTTTATTACTTAAATAATAAGATTGTTTAACATGTTCCTTATGGGGACAACTTTTATAAGTTTTTGAAGTAAATCCATTAATTATTTCATACTTTCAAATAGATAAAATTATATGATATATCTATAAGTATAATTTTGGAAGTTTTAATTATAAAGCTGAAAATCTTTTAAATATTTTTATAAATCTTTACACCTATATATTAATAGACTCTTATAATAAAATATAATTTTTTTTTTTTTTTTTTTATGTCGTAAAAGGACATCAGATGCAAAACTTTATTAATATATATAAACATATCTGGATTACATCTAACATCTTTACAAAATCGAGTTTATAAATTAATGTTAACCTATCTACAATGCTAACTATCCCTATCCTGATTACATATAGTGTACTTTGGATTAGTTTTAGTGCTGGATGGTTAATGCCCTTCTAGAGCTGAGATAAAGACTTGTGATTTGGTAATGCTGCTGGTATGGTTTGCCTGCGAGTCTGTAACTTCCATTATTAGCTCAAGCAAATTTTTATCCTCTGAGATAGCTTTTGATGTGTGAGTGCTGATGGAGCTTTTGGTTGGGGAGGAGTTCCTTTTCCATTTGACTCCCTTTACTTCAGATGTGTTAGCAGTTGCTGATCTTGGAATTCATATCTGTGAGTATAATAAGGCTAGTATTTTGTTTGCCATCTTGGCATGGCTGGCGATGGATAATTGTATGTCTATGTTTAGCATTCCGCTAGCAAGTTTGTCCAGGTTAGATTTTTGGCCAAAGTCTAATTTTTGCAGATTTCTTTCAATTTCTGTTAGGTTCTTCCTATTACTATTTTTTCTTATGAGCTTTATCAGACTTGTTCTTATCTTGTTTTCCATTATGTTGTACATTGCGATGTTTTTGTAGCAATCAAAGATGTGACTCTAAGTCTTCACTGCTGTAAGGCACCTAGGGTAGAGGCTATTAGTATAAGTGCTCGGGTAATGGTCGTGTAGTAGTTGTCTAGATGGTAACGTTTCGCTCAACAGTTTGAGTCTAAAGGCTAATAGTGAAGAGGTGTTTGCTTTATCTTTGTTGGTTAGCAACTTGTTTGCCATAGACAGGGTTTGAAGTACTGTTGTTTTCATACTGCCTTTCCACCTGTTTTTAATTGACGAGCTCTGGGTAATATCGGCGAGTCTGTGTGTCCTCTGGATTATTTTGGTTCAAACCACTGGACTGAAGCTCCAATTGTTCTTGATTTTTGAACTGGAAATGTAGCTTTCCGGCTCCACTAGGTTGTCGATTCCTATGATTGTGTCGCTGTTTTGATGACTTGAAATAATTGGGCTTGACTTTAGTCTCAATTTGATATTCTTGCATTTGCACGTGCTATTGATTCTTTCCTTTAAAAAACTATATGAAAATTTGACTCTTTGATTCGAGTAACTTGGAGTATACAGATTTAGTTTCTTTAGGAGATTCATTACTATGTATGTCTGGTTATTTGCTGCCTCCACTAGCCCTATTATTCCTAATAGAATGTTAATTGGCTATGGGTTTGTTGAATAAAGAGCTATATTGGTGTTGTGTCCTTGTATGGTAATTAATTCTCCTTTGCTCTCAACATTGAAGTGTAGGAATAGTCTGTTAAAGTTGATGACCTGTTTGAGATCCTCTATGGTATTAGTGTTAAGTAGTACTAGTAGGTCCCTGCACTCATGATAGCTGATCTTTACTCTTGGATTGTTGTCTGATGTGGCGTTGTACTGAAGTTGAAGCCAAATTTCCTCTAGTGCATTGGCTAGGCGGTGTTCATTGTTTGTCTTATATGTCCAAAGGGACATTGCTTTGGTTGTTGGAATGGCTATTTGGAGGCTATTGATGTGGCATTGACATTTTTTAAGAGTCTTGTTCGTTGTTAATCTATAATGGGTTCCTTTTATTTGAGGTTGGGTATGGTCACGATTGATTCTTGTTTTGATAAAGTTCAGCTCATTGTTAGT